TTACTTCCGCTTTTCTTCCTCAGTTATAAGTCAGAAGGAGAAAGTACGTAGAAATCCTTTCACTGTATCCATCGACAAAATATTTAATTTCAACATTGTTTTACACGACATTCAACTTTAATTTTCAGTCATTCTATATGCGTTGTTTAAACATCGTTATCTCAGATGAAACATTTTCAATGGCTAAAAATATCGTTTCACATATTTGTATTCACTGCTATTGTGTTCCTTTAATTATGAAAATTGCTTGCAAATTAAGTCAGTAATCGGTTCATTGTTACAACTTTTACTTTCAAACTATGGTGATAATAATAATAGCTTGTTGTGATACTTTAATAGATTATTGTTTGTATTTTCAATATGATAATTAATAAAATTAACGTAAAGTATTTTTAAATTAATATATAGGATAAAAATCGACTATAATAACTTCAATAAAAATGACCCCTTTGAATAGAGGTGCCCTCCTTACTAATCGAAGTTTCTCTATGGCTGACTATACATGACCATTTTCACTGCGGCCTTCAGCGTTTTAAAGGAGTACGTATACTCATTTAAAAAGCTCATTTATAAGTGATTTTTTCAGTTGTATTACCTCTCCAAATCGATATGTCCCCCTTACAGCGTTGATTGCTAGCAGCTGATGCTTTAATTTTATATAATTGAATAATTAATCAAAGAAAGGAGTTAGAGTAACTCTGAATGGCATTAGTATTACATCAATAACATGGCAAACTAAATACTTTACTAATTCTGATACCTAGAGCTATTAAACCTTGAAGGGCCCCCTTGGTTTATAAACTTGATTCAAAAATTGAAATTTATTCTAAATAAAATTAAATAACATTTAAAGAAAAATGGTAGCAATAAAATATTTTTTAACTAATAAATAGTAAATGGAAGGGTTGGAGGGCCCAGGACTATAGCCCTCTTGAGCCCTCTATAGTCCCCTACCTATAGGTTCTATGGCATAGACCCTATTCTATTCCTACTTAATTCAGAAAAACACCTGACATAATAAAATTAGATACAGTATACATCCCGATCGTCCGAACAGTGTCTTGTTTCGATATCGGAAAATTGTATTACATAAATTACAGTATCGCGTGGGACGATAGTGCAACATTCGCAAAGAGAGCAGTGAACGTTAACACGCAAAGTGCGGCACGCAGTCCTTGTAAAATGTAAATGCAGGTATGGTGGTCACGAGTAAACGTCAAACATTGCACGTGTCTATGCACAAATATCCGCGTGGCAATGGCGTCGCACGTGACGGCAAAGTTAGCTTAGAAAGCAAGCGATTCCGAGGAATGTCAATTTAACGATCAATCGACGGCTGCCCTCGAATGGAAACCTGTGAGACTGGCTAATAGGGAACGCTTCTTGTCGAGAAGAATGGTCTCTCGCTGTCACGCGTTATTAAATTTCTCGAACGGCTTCGATCGAGAGGAAAATCAGGGAAGAAAAATTTCCAACTTTTTCAATAGATCAGCTATTCGATCTTTGACGCCTATTTGATGACATAAAAGTAACGTGAAATGGTACTTATGGCACGTCAATTTAAAGCTTAAAGTTTGCTCAAAAATGCTATGTAAAGCTTTTATTAATGTGTTCGGTATAAAATGGCGGATTAGCAATTATAATCAACAATGACCCATTTCGAAAAATATAAAGTGTGAAACAATATGATGACATAAAAGTAGCGTGAAATGGTACTTGTGACACATCAATTTAAAGTTTAAAGTTTGTTTAAAAATCCTATATAAACAGTGCATCGATATCTTTGCTACAGAACGAATGGTGGGTAGTTATAGCAAACAAAGACCAGAGTAATCTTTACATGTTCCTTTTTTTATAGATGACACTAATTTCGTGACAGAAAATTATCACAAAATGGCACTTATTGTATATCAATTTAAAGCTTAAAGTTCGGTTAAAAAGGCTACATAAACCTTTCATAAAAATTTTCAATACAAAATGGCTGATTACCAATTACTCTCAACAATGACATATTTCAGAAAGTATAAAGTGTAAAGAGATTTGATGACATAAAAATATTATAAAATGTCACTTATGGTACATCAATTTAAAGCTTAAGATTTAATAAATATGCCTACGTAAATGTTTCATCGGTATTCTCAATAAAAAATCAATGGTTGGTACTTACAGTAATCAAAGACCTATGCTGCTAATTTTTCCTATTAATTTATTGGTAGCATAGTTTCGCAAACAAAACTGTTAAAGGAAAAAAAGGAACAGTACGCTTCCCGGTTTGCTATGCTGGTGAACGTTTTATACACACCGCTAATTGGCAAAAAAATATTCTATAATGTTGATTTCAAGTAAATTCAAGACTCTCGGTTTCACTTTGTAACACCGTTCTACGGCATAGCGTAATGTAACGGTGTGTAAACGATGCCCCAATTATAATAAGGAACGCAAACACGTGCTGGCAGAACCGTACACGCGTTCACGCAAATTGTAATGTACTTTCACTTGGATTTCGTTAAGCGCGGTAGATAGATACACTGAAAGATATGTAGGTAAAGCGTAATGGTTACACCTCCTGTGCCTAAGAACACGGCACAAAATTCATGTCCTTCTTCCTTCAATTAATCGAAAGGTATCGAATTACATTCAAACACGGTTGTTAACAAATGTTAAATTTTGACACCTTCAGTACCAGAATAGATTGATGGATAACTATAGTCACCTTTAGAACAGAGTAGGTGTTCGATATTGGGGGATCATAATCACCTTTAGTGATGAAAGAGTTAATGTAAGGGTTAAAGGGTCAAAGAGTTCATCGAGAAATCAGCCACTCATTAATGTAACTAGGATTTTCGGTGGGGGTGGGTCAGCTCCCTTATGTTTACAGACAATGCTTGGAATCTCAAAATTTCAAAACCTTAGAATTTTAAAATTTTATAAATGTAGAATCTTAGAATTTTAGAATTTCCACTTTTGGGGGGGGGAAGATATTCTACCCCTTACCTAGTTATACCAATGTAGCCTCTACAGAAAAATATTGCCTGAGCTTAAATAAAATAAATAAAAAAGCGGGAAAAAATTATCCAAAATTAGTTAATCAAATAAGATCTATTTTACTATTATTTTATCATCTGAAATCATTATGCAAAAATTAAATTATTCATTGTTAAATGTAAATGATGCTTGAATTTTCATAAAAATCCATCGCCCATATTATTCTACTTTTTTAAATAAAATTACATGTTACTTGCAATATTTCAAAAGTGACCAACTCTGATAGTAATCAACAATTCTTCTTTGACTGTATTATGGAACACCCCGTACACTTGAGTAACTCATTCGAGCAATAATATATTTTCCCTAACTGAACAATTAGCTTCTAAACGATGGTATCTCATCGATGTTACATAAAACTGTTTAGATCGATGAATGTATACTTGTTTTGCATTGTACAATGTAAGTACAATCGATTTTTATTGCAGTACCCTTCTGCTTATGGGAAACATTCGATCAAACGTTCAGAGATATGTAAATTCAGTTTAACGCTATAATTACATCACATAACATGCGTTATATCATCTGACATGTTGTTTTAATTTAAAAAAAAGAAAAAACTCTTATAAATTCGAAAACAATATATTATGTATTGTATTCTATTTTCATCCAAGCGAAATAGTTTTTTGTATTATATTGCATATTTATGCGAGACAAATAATAGGTGCAATATTCAAAATCCACATTTGAATAAATTTAAATAAGAAATAAAATAGAATTTGTGTTGCTGCAGCTATGTTTTCTCCTGTATTATTAATATGACAGATGCCGCAGTGAGAATGCAAGTATATAGATATATAATAAGGCAGACTAATTGCAATTTTATTATTCAAAGCAGAATCATTTCATTTTTTAATTTAAATTTTTCATGTGCTACTTCGTGTGATTAACACATTAAACGCCTCAGTGAAAACGGATGTGTATAATTATCAATTTTTAAATCCAAGCTTTCAATTTGGTACCTTGCATTATTAATATAATACTAATGTTATTCAAAGTTTATTTTTTATTTTCTTTTTCTAATAATTTGGGGCACCAGCCATCAACGGCTTCCGTTATAGTGAACTTAACATAGTATTAATTAATTTGATATCTTACATTATTAGTATATTATTAATGCTATTTAGAGTTTATTTGTTCTTTTGCTTATATAATAATTTGAAACACCAGCTACCGACGGCTTCCTTTATAGTAAAACCTAACACAATATTAACGCCATTTAAAATTTTCTTTAATTTCTATTAATTTTCCTATTGCATTGAAAGTGTGACGACAATTACCGATGTACCCTACGGCATCACGGAAGACATTAATTCCTTTCGAACAAGTACCCGAATCCTTATACGTTTGTTCAATGAATTGTACGGGAAACGATCCTCGACAAGGTGATTATATAAAGCTAGTAAGTAAAAGCGGACAACATAAGTTTAACCCCTTTTCATATTACAAAAACCACGTCGGTTCTCCAGAATTTTTAACTAAGCAAAGCAAATTATTTTACACCTACCATTCCAGTAAAATGGTCCCAGAAAGCCATTCAAACAATTAAATATAGAAATCCCAATTCAAAGATTGTTAAGAATATTAGTTTGCACTTGTAATTTCAGTAAAATGGTCCCAAAAAACCATCCAAACAATTAAATTTAGAATTTCCAATATAAGGGTTGTTGAGAATATTAGTTTGCACTTGTTATTTCGGTAAAATGGTCCCAGAACACCATTCGTGCAATTAAATTTAAAAATCGTAATATAAGGGTTGCTAAGAATATTAGTTTGCACTTGTAATTTCAATAAAATAACACTTAAATGAAATGGTACCAGAGGACCAGAAATCCTAAGGATGGTTGAAAGAGCTCCTAGGTATAAGGGTTGTCGAGAATCGTGTAAACTTTACACTGTAAAGTATAATGACGGAAGTGCTGGTTCCAAGCGGAAGAAAAGGGTGGTTCACTTACCAGAAGGGGTGGGTCGTCGATGATCGCGTTGTTGATTAGAGATGCTCAGTGTGAGAACTCGTTGGCGTCGCGATGCACGGCGCTCGACATTCCTTTCAGCTTGCCTTGGAGTAACTGGACGGCAAAACGGTTTCCCTCTCTCGATTCGCACCGACTTCTTTACATTCTACTCCAGCCTCGATCATGGCTTTCACTTCATCCGTCGAGGAAATGGTGAACCGTGATCGTTCGAGACGTTCGCACACCATGCTTCTGGTCCAGCGTCGAGCAACTCGCTTCGATGCTGCTCGCAACGTAATCTGGAGAACGTTTCGTTTCATTCCAGACTAAATTGCTTACTATTTATCATAACGTACCGACGAACAGTTAGTTGCACTCATTTTAAAAAGAACTCTCCATGGGACGAATAGTAAATCCTGAAAAAGTAGATACCAACATTAGAAATGGTGTACTATAACTTTGAAAATAATATAGCATAGAGATATTAATATGCAAGGTCCAAAGTTGCATTATTTTATTTTGCATTTTAGAAAAGCATTGTGAACTTATAACTTTGTAATCTACGGTACACAATTTTCCAAATGATAGCTGGTAGCGAAAGTGTTAATTTGTTTAAAAGTATACTACTTCCCTTCCACTTGAATTGTTTTGAAAAAAATAGAGTTCAGTTATACAATGTTCAGTACAATGATGCTGTCAATTTTTAAGACATCTAATGTTAATATTAAGAAAAATATTATAATTAATAATAATATAATGATTAAGAAAATACTTGCTTCTAGGTTACCTGTTTTCGAAGATTTTATTTATTTAGGCGTATGAAGTGAATACAAATTTGTTTTACAATTATTTTAATAATGTTCTGGTCTTGTACTAGTGTTAATTAATTTATAAAAAATAGAATTAGAGGGAGTCAAAATTGTGTCTTTTCAGTAGTCTATGCGTGGTGCGATAAAAGAGTGACTGGTAAAGCAGAAGGGGGTGCTCGCTCTGTAGTTACTGTTCTGGATGACCAGAAATTCGACCCGTGCGCCATCTATTTACAAACGGCGGAGACTACTCGACAACTTATCGATCGATCTTCCGGTTCACTAGCAAAAACTGGTTATCGATAAGCCTTGGCTGTAAAAAACTTGATTGATAATTCATCGATACCGATTGTCAGAGGATCAATCGATAAGTTGGCAAGTAGTTTCTACTAGTTTTAATAGATGCCGCCAGCTGTTCACCTTGTTTCGGAAAATCGATCGATAAATTGTTGAGTAGTTTCCGCCGTTTTTGTATAGATAGCGCAACGGTTGAACCTGAGGTTACTTTTTATGGGTGATTTAATTTTACAATTAAATTATAATTAAAGTTTTAATTTATAAATCAATTGTAAAATATAAAAACAAACATTCTTACCTCTTAACATCGCTTAATGACATATAGTATGTACATGTAATCGAACCCAATGCAAAGTACCAAAACTATTTTCTTATGATTATAAATAAATAAATGGAAGCCTACTGTGCTCAATGCTGTATTTATATATTTATAATAAATAAGTGTAATTTAATATTTATTAAAAATAATGGTAATGGAAGAAAAAATAAGTAAAAAGAGTCATCGTAAACAAAAAAGGGCTCATTACAGACTTCTTAGAGACATGAATATTAATTGTTGTGATAATCCTACAAAGGTTGATATTTAATTAAAATGATAATGTTCTGTTACTGACAGTAATGTATAATTTATACTGATGTTATATTTTATTCCAGTATATAATGATTTGCAATGCTGGTTTAGTAACCGGGCTTCAAAGAGAAATGTTACAACGTATTATAGATCCATTGATTAACAAATATGATTTAGTAATGCCTTTAAACAAATCATATTGTTTTATAAAATTGTATTCAATAGAAGATGCTGCTTGTTTATATAACAAAATTCATGGTCTAATAAAGATTAAGGGGCAGAATACACCATTGTATGCAGCATTTACAGAAGCAGGTATATAATAAATTTTTAAATGCTAATTAAAATATATTTAATTCTTCAAAACAAATGAATCATAGAAATGAAAGTTATGTATTATAATTTTGTTTTAGTTCCTGAGTTAGATTGTGAAGATTGGTCTAATGACTTTCCACCTGGACTTAAATTAATAGAAAATATTATAACTGAAGAAGAAGAAAAAATGTTAATTAATTCAATTAGTTGGAGCAATGAAGGTAGAAAAATTTTATTACTTTTACATAAAACATAATATATTAGGATTTGATAAATTTATGACAATATTAATATTTATTTTCTGATATCAGAATCATGTGACCTAAAACATAGGAAAGTCAAACACTTTGGATATGAATTTCAGTATGGTTCAAACAAAGTAGATCTTGATAAACCTATTACTCCTATTCCTGAAGATTATAAATTTTTAAATGTGCTATTTGAAAAATATCACAATGTACCGTATGAATATGATCAGCTGACAATTAATCACTATTTACCTGGTCAAGGTATTATTACTTAATAGTTAAAAATGAAACAAATTTTAATATTATGTGTATATCACTATGATACAAGTACAAACAAGCTGGCAATATTTTTCATTTTAAGGTATACCCCCACATATTGACACGCATAGCGTCTTTGAGGACAGTATACTTTCATTATCATTAGGTTCTGCATGTATTATGGATTTTAAACGAGAACATATAAAAGCGGCTATTCTTCTACCTCCTCGTTCATTGTTAATTATGTCCGGAGATGCTCGATATGCATGGTCACATGGAATTTATCCTAGACATAATGATATGGTGAAAACTCCAACTGGAGTTACAACGCAACCACGAGGAATAAGAATATCGTTTACATTTCGAAAAGTACGTAGCGGTAATTGCTTATGCAATTTTCCAAAATACTGTGATACCAAACAAGATGGCACCACTACTATCATAGATAATAAAGCTGCTACAGGATTAGAAAATTTATATGTACACGAAGTAAGAATTATAAACTATATTTTATATGATCTTACTTGTACATGAAACATTATTAATTAAATTTGTAACACATAGGTTTATGACCAAATCTCAAATCATTTTGATCAAACAAGACATAAACAATGGCCTAATGTATCAAAATTTCTTCAAAGCTTAAATATGGGTGATATCTTATTAGATGTTGGTTGTGGAAATGGTAAATATCTGTATGAAGAAGAACATATATTCAAGGTACTGGAATTTCAATTTACATGATTTCTTATTACATAATAATCTTTCTAATAAAGGAAACATTTGTAGATTGGATGCGATAGAAGTCAAAATTTAATGAAAATATGTTATGATAAAGGTTTTGAAGTATTTTTATCTGATTGTTTATACTTGCCATACAGAGATGATAGTATAGATGCAATAATAAGCATAGCTGTAATTCATCATCTTTCAACTAGTGAAAGAAGAAGACAAGCTATTTCTGAATTAGGACGTGTTCTTAGACCAAATGGAAAGTGTTTAATTTATGTATGGGCAAAAGAACAAGAAAAAGATTCCGTTCAAACAGCTTATTTAAAATATGGCTCAAGTGTAAAGGAAAATGTTGTATGTACTCAAAAAATAACAGAATGCGGTGTATCGTTACCGATACATGAAAATCGTACAAACTTTACGTCCACTGATATGCTTGTTCCATGGAAAAGAAAAGGAGGAGGAAATTTTCTTAGATATTATCATGTGTTTGAAGAGGGTGAACTTCCAAAATTATGTTCCGAAGTGTCTAGTTTTATAATAGAAAATATATATTATGATCAAGGTAATTGGTGTGTAATATTACAAAAGAAAGATAAAATAAATTAGGTGAAACAATACGTTGTTACAAATTTACATTGCAATTCTTACCGGTTATATTCGTGGCTAAAACAAATCAGAAATAAAAGGAATAATTTGGTTAATAAAATAAAGATGCAAGGATTATAATATTTTAAATGATTTTATCTTTATTGGAAAAAGAACAAAATACATGGAATATGTATTCTATACAGGGTTTTAGATATAAATAGTCCCTGATATCTAGTTTTATCATTATAAACATGAATAATGCGTAATTAGACAAGAAAAGTGCACTGTACAAAGCTCACCTTGCTTGACTTTTGTTATTGTGCTTCAATTGTGTATAACATATTTATTAGCAATATAGATGATCGTTATCATCATTAATAATAATAATATTTTTATTATTATTATCACCAGCATCATCGTTTTCATTATTATTACTATTGATATTAATGTGTATTAGGTATCGTTTGTAGATATATTAGCACACCTTATTCACAAAAAATAGGATCCAATTATAAAATTAATGTAAAATGACAGCTTGTTGCAAATACTATTTTCAAAAGTTATAACCAAATTTGATACAGAAAAATTTTTAGATATTAATGTCAACAGTGTACTTAATATATACAACGATTGACAATACTAAACTATTAGTAAAATTGTTATACATTTTTAATTGGCGAGTGCTTGAATTAGGACAAAGTACACTGTCCCTTCTTCCTCAATCAATTAAGGAAAAAACTTATACAGGCCCAACTTCTTCCGGATCATAGTTTTTTACTCTTTTATTATATGCAATAATTTCCTAAACAATTAAAATATTAAATTAATATTTCATTTATAAACGCATAAGTATATATATTTGTTGAAATTGTCTTACTCTTTCATATCTGGCCCTATCCTCTTCTGCTATTGCCATATATTTTGATTTAGTTTGAAGATCTGTACTCATCCATAATTTTCCCAGCTCTTTGGCAATATCACCTACTCCCATTTCTGGATGTAATTCTCTCATTTTTCCGCGCAGTTCTTGACAAAAATAGAAAAAGGCAGACCTAAAAGAACACTTGTAAAGAAAACATCAAATATCAGTTAACATTTTTAACACATACAATGCTCTTTTGGGTGCATCTTTATCTCTGTATCTTTTTGTTCCTCTACGAGTTGGTCTTTCTGTTTCTTCATGACCTGTGTAATGTCTATCATAATAATACATTTTTTTATTGCAATGTGCTCCATCTTCAAGGTGTACAATCTATGATAACATATAGTTGTGTTAACATATACCCTATTAACATATAATATCCTTGATTATAACATTTAACATAATCTTACTTCATTTTTCACTGGTACTGCATTAATGATAAAATTTTTACTCTGAGTATTTGACCATTTTGCTTGATTATTTGAAACACTGGATACATTCCCAGGTTTCATTACAGACTCACCACATTCTAAGAATTAAATAATTAATGTATGTATCCATAAATTAATATATTAAATCGGTGTTTACAAGTTTTATATTATTACGATATATATTGTTTCTATACAATAACAGTATAAATATTTCTAAAACATAAGAATTTACCTGGTGTCATGTTTGTTTGACCAACGATCATTGTATCTCTCATTCCAGAATTCAAAGAATTATCACCAGCTTTTGTGAGATAAACATTCTTTCTATCAGATGATTCCATGATTGAATAAAATTCTTATTCACAATGAGTTGCTCAACAAATTAATAATCTTTCCAAAACCACAATAATCTGTATGTGACATTTATCACTGTTAGAAGCTTTATTTCTTTATACTATTTTACAAATAAAGTTATATTTCAGAATGGAAGTAATTGTATTATAAGGACAATATATGAAATATATTTTTTAACTTATGAAACAAAATTTAAAAGTTATTTTCTTATTCTTATATATTCAAAATAATAACATTCAAATATAGTTTGAGTTCTATAGCAATTATATACTATTTCATATAATTTTTTAAGAGGCATTAAATATTAAATACCACTTACCACAAATATGTATATGAAATATAGTATAACAAACTGTTGTCATGACCTTAATAAAATACCATTATGAACTATTTTCCCACATTCTATATAACAAACATAAAAGAATATTTAATTTTTTAATGTAAAAATATCTAAGTACCTTATTTATTGCCAAATTATATTACAGATGAAACAAATTATGTACTATCTTTATAATAAATTGATACCATAATTAATAATCTAAACATACTGAATTTAACGATTTAATTTAAAAAATAATGATTATATATTTTTCATAAGATTATGTTGGACCCTTGCAATTTATTTAATTTTATTGTATAAACATTTTTAATGCTGAACACAAACTATGTTTTTAAGAATATTATAAATTGGAACTTAAATTGTACATTGTAGATCATATATGTTCATAACAAATACTTTCATAAATTCTGTATAAAATTTCAAAAATTACCATGGAAACAGGGAAGTACGTGTGTAATATATCATCTACCTTCCCAGAAAAAATAAATTAAAAACAATTATCAATATAAAAATAAAACATTTCTAAGAAGAAAAGGTAAAAAGAATAGTAAAACATTCAAATGCCTTAGGATACGCAAGTAATGAAGGAGGCAAATGTAACATATATTTACCTACAGATGACGTACAAAGGCAATCGCTGCTACAACAACACAATATAAAAGCTATTTTTCGATATACAACTCAAAAGAATTAAATTATGGTAAACGGAGTAAAATTAAATAGGGAAGGTAAATGATAATGTAACAATAACTTACCACGTAATAATTAAAAGCAAGCGTTTCAAAGAGTTCGTGAAAAGCGACTATAAGCAACGCAGAATGTAGCTTATTAAGCATCCATTCTACAGATCGGCCCTATCTATACGCATCTATCCGTACGTATCACGCGTACCGTGATCAGCATTATATACGAAACACGTACAATACTTAAATGCAACTTGCATCAAATACTCGAATTAAGATTTCTTGAAATTCTGAATATTCACAGACACAATACTCGTTAGTTATTGACCCATAGAATTCGGATTATTGACGACAGAACTCGACATTAAAAAACAGATCGCATAAAGCAAGCTGATTGAAGCAGATATGACCGGGCATGGCCACTTGTGTGCTGTGCACATACACACATTATTCGCGCGCGCGCATTTATACATTGACTTTTTAATATTATTTATTGTATACAAGGTTTTGAAGTTTCTATTTCTTTAGCAACTATACTAGCTTTATTACTTCGACTACTATCTCTAAAATTAGGTTACAGTTATTAACAATGTAGAAAAATGTTTATTTCCTGACGGAAAAAGCATTAGGGGAAGTTCATATGTTAAAAGTACGATTGTTTGAAATATCAACATTAATTTCAAACAATTATTTATTAATAAACATGTATTAATGTGAAATAACTAGAAAATAATCTAATCATTAAATGTATATATCAATTTTAACTAATACAAAACTTATTAGTGTATTATAAAATTAATAGTAATTGTTGATTTTCACATTGTATAGTATAGAATATAGTGTAGGTGTTAATAAAAATAAATTTCTAAATTTATTTTTAATACATATTTTATCTATATATATATAAATTTTTCAATAATCTAATAAGTCTGATACATGTAAATGGTTCTTATGCTTACAATAATTAATGCAACGAATATCTCCTAATACATGAGTATTTGTAAATGCATTACTTTTATGTTATATGCTTATATTTTGCAGAATTTTTTTATTAATAATATACATTAATTGAAAAATTTGTAAATGGAATAATTTTCATATAATGCAAGTTTTTAATCAATTTGTAAGTTGACATTTCTGTATGGACTATTGGAATCAAAAAATGTTTTCAGATAATGAGATCTTTTCACTTATTTTATATTTTACAGATATACGAAATAATTGATGTTGATTATACTTAATAATGAATAATTTAATAATCTTGAAGTATGAATATAATATTTTATATTGATACTGAAATTAAAGGTTATATTTATTTTAGGAATGTTACACGTGTTTGATGGTATAAATAAATTTTCAAAACGATGAAGGAATCTTTACTGACAAACTGTGAAAGGAACTTTGTAAATAAAGCTGTAGAACAAGGAACGGTACGAATTAATAATTACTACACTTAATTACTAATTTGTACAAATTTTGAATTTGAAGGATAATTGAAACATTTTTTAGCGATTAGATGGTAGAAATTTATTGGAAGCACGGCCGGTTAAAATTTATTTTGGATCTAACTGGGGTAGTTGTATGGTTTTACTTGGTCAAACAAGGTATATTTAAATTTCTGTTTTTTATAACTAATGTCTGTATTGTATAAATGATATTTAATTGGATGATAAAGTATAATTATATATAATTTTGTTATAGAGCGGTAGCACAAGTAACATGTGACATTCAGCAACCCAAGACTTCTCGCCCCAATGAGGGCATGTTGCACATAAATGTTGAACTTAATGCTTTGGTGGCACAAAATTTTGATAGTGGTACACAATCGGAATTATCAGTATTAATTAGCAGGCAGCTTGAAAAATGTTTTAAAGATTCAAAATGTATAGATTTAGAATCTTTGTGTATCATAGCAGATAAAATGGTTGGTAATATCTTCTCTCCATTTCTGTAATATTGATTTATTTAAATACATAATTAATATTAAATATTCAATATTTCATATAGGTATGGAATTTGCGTGTTGATATCAATATTATTAATCATGATGGCAATTTAATTGATTGTGCATCTATTGCAACATTAGCTGCTCTTGCACATTTTCACAGACCAGATGTAACTTCAACTGGAGAAACCATTATAATTCATCCATTTTGTGAAAAAGATCCTTTGCCTTTAACATTATACCACTATCCAGTATGTGTATCATTTATAACATTTGAAAGGTGCGATTTAATTTAAAAAAAATGTCATTAAGTAAATTAATTTAGAAAATATGTTTTTAATAAAATTTTATTCTTTAGTGGAAATACTGTTATGGATCCTACCTACATAGAAGAAAGGGTTGGAGTTGCTCAGCTAACTCTTGGTATAAACTCATATAGAGAACTCTGTTGTTTACATTTTAATTATTGGACAAAAACTATGACTGTACAAGATGTTATATCAGCAGTTTCTAGTTATGCTGCGAACTATGCTACTGAATTAGTACAACAGATTAAAGAAGCAGTAACTTATGATGTAGAAGCAAGGTAAAATTTAAATCAGTTAATTAAGTTGCTATAGTAGAACTCTTTTAATTTTGAATTTATATATTTAGGTATAAGAAAGATGATCGCAATACACATCGTTTTAAGGAATGTATAACAATGAAAAAATTAACTACAATGAATAGTGAATCTATTAGTATTAAATTAAGCAAATGGGGTAAAACAGAAACTGTAGAACCTGATGGTAAATATCTTTATGATTTTATCATTATAATATGAAAGTTATTGTACTTTAATTAACATTTATTTGTATTTTCTTTGAAGTACAAATGGAAGAAGAGGAAAATAACAAGTGTAAAATTATAAAACCTGGAGAAGGTTCTGCTGAACTAATAATGGATGCAGTAAGTAAAATGAAATGAATATAAACTAGTACAATTAATATAATTATGTATTATTTCTGTAGAGTAAATCATTTGGTGATGGGGGACCAAATACATGGAATAACACAGAATCTTCAGAAGAAGAATCAAGTGATATTGAAATTACTGCTGAAATAAAGAACGAAGAAAAAAAAGTGATGGATGATATAGGTATTTTTATTCGCGTACCTTTAATTTACAATATTTTTTTATCATTACAAATATAAATAATTAACTATGTTGGGGTACTTTTAGACTTAGGTGGAGATAGTGAAGAAGAAATTACTGGAGTACTTGATTCAACCCTTTTAATGCAATAAATATATAGTAAGTGATATTAACAAACAAAAATAATTTTACAAAATCTACTTATTTTATTAATGTTTATCGTATGACCGTAATGACAATTAAAAATTGAAAAAATAAACAATACTATAATGTGCTTCATTATACATATATTTTTTTCAGTGTATTTTATACATAGATCTTACAAAATACCTATGTCTATTAACAAGTAAAAATCCATACATTCGTTTCTGATCTCACTAGTAAAAGATTACAATAACAAAACTCATGAAATGATGCCTAGGCTAGGTGGTGTCATTACTTAAACCATTCTTTTGATCTAATTTATTGGCATTGGTTTTAACTGTATAAATGAAGAAGCTTAACGCTTCTTTTTCAACTACTGGGATGGTCTTGAAATGCTTCATAAGGGTCTGAAATAAATAATAAAAATGGTTAGAGATAACATGTCTTGGAAGTTCATCTTTTACACTTATAATATATTAAATCAAATACTCACATCAGCTAATTGAGCTTTATTTAAACCTGGACGTGTAGAAACTTTATAATGCCTCTTGTATCTCCTTAATGTACCAACTTGTAACTGAAAAAGATCAACCTCGGGAAGGTCATTGTCTGTTTCACCAGAATCTTCTTCTGAGTCCTTACGTCTACGTTGTTGCTGTTGCTTAGATCTTGCACATTGTATTACTTGTTTATGATAATCACAGATATATATGTGACGTGCCTATTAATAAATCAAACATGATATTATCTAATTGTATTTAATCTAATTAATTTTAAACAAAAAACTAGTATTGAAGCATGAATATATTAAATACACATCCAAATAATATACAAATATATATTTTATGTTGAATAGTACAAGTATTTGATCATGTACAATATCTTTCATTCACAACAAATGATATTTAAAATAATTTGAAACAGAAATAATATAAAGTAAATTTGAAAAAAAAAAAATTTCTGAACAATGTTTAACATAACTTTCTGTTATAAATAATATTACCACTTGATCGAGATTAAGTTTCAATCGCCGTTGAGTTACAGTTTTTTGTATACGTTTGCTATAAGAAGCGTTGCCAGCTGGTCGAGTGCATCGTTCACCCTCATCTACAAGGCAACAGATTTGATCAGCAGCTCCTCTGGAATCTTCTTCACCGGTACTGAATCCATTCATTTTTTTTTATTTTTAACATCAACTAAATCAGTATGAAGAATATGTAGAACTTTAACAACCTCGAATTGTTTTGACGTATTGTATTTGCGTCAAAAAACAGTGTGTCTCAATGTAAAATATACTCCGGGACGTCTACTTTTCACACTCATAATTTCCTGGCGAATTTCATTTGTCAACATCCAATTCGTTGAAGAAGTTTATTTCCCCGTTACCGGTATAAAAGAAAACCTTTATCACGGAATGTCTACTCTTTTATTTTAGACAAAGATTCAGGCTCACGAATCGATAATTTAAATAGTAGCGTTTGCGTATTACGAAGAGCTCGGTGTTAAACGATATCATATAACGTTTCACTTTCTTTCTCTCACAACATTTTAACATACGAGTTATTTTTACGTATCAGCTGTAGCTACTGCATGTACTTCGAAAATTCTATTAAAAGACAAACATTTAACAGTGCTATTTCCTCGTAACACGTTTATGTTCTTACAGAATTCTTTAAAATTTTATGAGTACAACACTTCACCCAACTTCACCGCGTTTTATTATTTATATACACACCTACATTGACTCACACAAAATTGCGTGAAGGTGCATATTACACATATATATGTATATTTTGTGTTTTAATACATCTATATATATGTATACAAAGTGCGTGGTTGGAGTTTCTATTCAGTACATTCAATTCTACCAACTGTATGCGCCATCACTGAAAAAAGTAACTTTGCATTGTATAATTTGTGTTATTTCTTATTATTTATTAATATTCAGCTTTTATGTTTTTTAATATATCCATTAAAACATATATATGTGAATTCATTAAAAAGAATTTAATGAACAAAATAGTATCAAAAAATTATGTATTGATTGATCATTCTCCACATCATAAAAAAAAATATAAAGAACAAAGGGAATAATTGTGGAATAATTAATATCTAGGTAATAATATTTATAAAACATCCATTTAGTAAATTATAGCTTTTTCATATTCCTCTGCTGAATATTGCGTATATAGATGAAAGCAATAATGTTATTTAAGCCTATGACAATTAGAAATTTAGTTAATATATTTATTATAAGTAATTAATACGTTACTTGTAGGGTTATTATAAACAATATTATAATAAGAAATTAACAGAATGTTAAACCATTATTAAATATATGTTAATCAACTGCAATGTACATATTTAACTGTTTTGTATAATTTAATATTTTTTATATTTGTAAGAAAAATATTTTTGTTATGCTCTGTCAATTAATTATTTATGAAATACTTGTATACATAATATAGTTAATAGAATTATTATTGTAAAAGTATATATAATAAAATAAGTAATAAAAACTTATAAATTGTGTTGTTATTGGTTTTATAAGCGATCTTATTTTAGTCCTTATATTACCAAACATATATGTTAAGAGACATTTTATGTAGCATTTATATTTAGTTTAAATATATTTATAAACTTCTACAACAGAAGAAACATTAATTCGTTTAGCAAAACGTATAGATATACGTATATCACATACTATACATCTATTTTACATCACGTTGGCGGTACTGCAATTTGCGCCTCAATATTTAGCTTGTGGAACCTAGCGCCATCTACGATAATAAGAAATCCTAACCTTAATAATTTAAATTATTTATTTGTTACGAGATATTTTGAAATGCGTTAACAACCGAAAAAAAGTTTTACTACTAAAAATATATTTATTTAGTTAAATGGATGGAGCATCCTTCAGTGCAAAGTAAATGATGTACTGTAGACTGCTTTACACGCATGATTTTTCCCGCCCTTTCTACCAGTAGACATTTTATTGGGGGGGTAAAAAGAAACGCTTCAAAACATAAAAGGTTGATGCTGATTGGCTTACTTTTTGCGGCTTATCTGAAATAAGCCAATAGTAATACAGATTTTCCCCATACACTTTCATATGCCGCACAAGTGGCGTGGGGTCGCGATATTCGAAGCTGAGAATCCTTTTAGCTGTAGAGGATCGTCCAGGTAAGAAAAATCCAAATATTTTTCTTTCCAAGCGTTGACAGATTTCAGCGACCAACAATTGATCACTAGGCTATTACTGCCATATGATACACGTAATACGAGCAATTATTTAGTGAAGTGCTACTGTGCTGCGTACTGTGCATATACCTTTTATTTCTACACAGCCGTCATAGCAAATGGCTGCCCAGAGATGTGTTTAGCAAGAAGGTTCTCGTGCACTTTGTTATCGTTATATGTTGATACGTGGAAAGATATCGCGTGACAGTTTTTATTGTCGTGAAAATATAGATATTCCAGATTCGTAATATAAAATGTCGGCGTGGCCTGTGTCACGAGTGTTTCGTCATAAATCAACCGTCAAGGCTATAACCCGCGTACGATCGGACTCTGTTTGGCTACTTGCGCCATGCATTGGCATATATGGGATCTTGTACTATAGTACTTATCGTAGTTTTATAGTGAATAATTTGTCGCTTAGCGCATAGGTTATAATGATGTGCATGGGGTATTTAGAAAATCTGTGAAAAATAAGTGGTACTTTTAGTCATCAGTTTGTTATTCATAACATATTTTATAATATATTACAAAGTTTTTAATTTCCCGCTCACATACAATTCTCTAGTCGTTGTTAGATGTACGTAATGGACAGTGACATATTTATGTTCTGAAATTAGCATTTTTTACAATAAATATAATATACCTAGTATCGTACACTTCGAGTTATTCGTAGTAATTGATTTGGTGATTGTTAAAAACAGGAGAAAAAAAAGGAGTGTCACGTACACAGTACGTTTATACATAAGCGTCTCTTAAGCGTCTGTTTTTACTGTATACGCCATATCGTCAACAGAACATACGTTCTATTCAAGGCGGCAAAATAACATTTTTTCCCTTCAATTTATACGCTGAATTGGTATAATAAAAATACAATATTTTTGTTAGTCTCTGAAGTTTGTCGACGTAATTTTCCTTTCATATATTTAATATTATAAATAAAAGGTGAATTCATTATAACACGAGAAGCTGATTATACATAAAATGGTGGGAATATAATCAATGTACGGAAGACATGTTTGCAATACGCACGTCACCGTACTTGTTGTGTGTGCGTAATATGATCTTACATGTATATATAGTCCGATAGAGATATATGTATATGTGATATTATTTGTCTCTTTTGCTTGTGTTCATAACACGTTATCGAAATCAATTTTTTTACTTTTTCTTTGAAGATATTCTTTTTGTTTATCGTATATAATATACTCAGATACTAAAATCGTTATTTATTAAAGTTAGCGTTTATGCGGTAAAAATATAATCAGTTATTCAATACTGCGTTTTACATATTTTATAGAAAATTATTGAAAAAAGAAATAACTCAAGTATCGGTAAAAATAATTTTTTAAATACTTATTTAATTAACCATATTTGCAAAGTCTACAGTTACTTTGTCAATATATAATCAGAAACACAATTTTTGTGTTTTATTTATATAAAAGTGATTAAATTTCTTTTCCAAGTGCATTTTTTTTTTATTGCATCGTAAATTCTATAGTATAGGTACCTAGTATTTTTCTTTATCAAACGTCTGATGTGAAATATGTCGATAGTTGTATCGGATAATATCTCAGTCATTCTCTTCATATTTCAAATGATGGATCAGAGATAAGATTCTTTTATTCATAAATTCTGATCGCACGGTAAATAACGTATATACATTCGACGTTTTTTGATAATAAATGATTTATTTTTCAACTTGAAAACATATACATATGTATACAGTAATATATATAAAATTAGATACATAGAAAACGAATGAACTTGCCGTGATTAGTTTAGATTTTATGTTTACACAATCTGTTGTATTTAATAAGATCTGAGATTTTTTATTCTTATTAACCAATCGTTTTGAATTGAGCGTGGGTAATTTAAAAACAAATTATCACAGTTATTTTGCAACGTTTCAGCCTTTTAGGTCCTTTAATGTAATGTAAAATTGTTTAAAAGTAATATTATAATAAACCCCGAAGAGGACCTACACAAAAAGTTGGATCTTTGTAAAATAAAGATTCTGGTACTTAATTTTTTTTTTTTAAATTATACAAACTAAATTCGAAAAGATTGAATATTAAAAATAAAAAATTATAAGTCTTCTTAATTTATAGTAACAGTATAGTTTAAATGAATAATTAGATTAGTAGAAAACAATATATTGAACTTACAATTCACTTAACACATAATACGCAACATTATGAAATCAAGAGCAAAAACTGGTTTTTCAGTTTTGTATACGAGGATATAAAAAGTGTATTACCAATACGTTCAGATAAATTACAATTGTTTATAATGCGCGTGCATTTGTTATTGAGTTTATATTAATGAATACTAATGGATCCGAGTCGGGACAATGTCGAAATTAATTGTGAATAGATTACGCACATTGTGTTCTCGATTACTTGTTCATATCGAAGTAAAATATCGAACTTTGAGTTTTTTTTATTTTATACTTGATGATATAAAGTAAATAAATTAGATTGATAACAGATAGAAAGTGACATTTGATGAGAATGTAAACCTATCAATAATAATTTATTACAATTGAATTTCAAGTAAATTATTTTTTATTACAAATTAGATTGAAGGTAGCATATATGACAGAAATTTTTTTGCGAACTTAATATTCATACGCATATTTATTCTCTGAAGAATTCTATTTCACAGCAATGAAATAGGAAAAAATTAATGCATTATGTACATTGAGCATTCTATTGTTGCATAAATACTATTTTATTCTACTAATATATTTATACAACTTCAAGTATGATTTAAAACACTTTTAGATGCGATACGATATCTCTACGCGCATTAATAAATCGATTATTGAGTATTAACATTTAACTAATGTTTATATATAGTAAAATTTATGTGAAGATGGTATTAATATCTCACTTGCGCTGTTAAACTTACATATATACATTTTACGCAAAATCACTTTTTTTAATAAAACATTTAAGCTTTATTAGTATGTTCCTTAAAAAATATTAATAAACGTAGAAAAATTAATTCTTTTTAACAAAACAGATTTAGTATTATTAGAAGATTATTTAAGAATGTAATAATATTTATTTATTTTCTTCTAATAATTTTAAAAATATTTAGTGATTTTTGGTACTTAATATTAATTTAATTTTTAATTAAGCATCTTCTGATTTGTATTTATATAATACTTATTTGTTTCGTCATTTTTACATAGTTTTGTTGTTATATCATGAAACGTATTGGCACAGCTTCATTATTTAATTCGGAAACACCCTATGTATAGAATACATATACGTTTATATAATTTCTTATTAATAATTAAATGATAATATGCTATAAAGTGTATGTATTTTAGTTAATCTGTTTTTCTTTGCACGATCAAAGTGCATTTATATTATCTGCGATTCTTTTAAAGTAATAAACAAATGAATGAACTGCATATAAAAATATTTAAAGGGTTAATATATAACTTTTAGGGAACATTATTTAAAAGATTCTAAAGGTATAAGAAAGTTTTATATTCCACGTGCATTCTTGTGACGGGAAGTAAATCTCTGCCTTGAAA